CCTCGCTGATGTGGACCCCCAGGTATTTAAAGCTGCTCACCCTCTCCACTTCAAGCTCTCGGATAAACAGTGGCTGGTGAGTTTTCCTCTTTTTCCTCAGGTCCACTATCATCTCCTTTGTCTTGTCCGTGTTGAGGGTGAGGTTGTTGTCCTCACACCATGCCACGAGACTGGCCACCTCCCTCCTGTAGGCCACTTCATCTCCGCCAGTGATTCAGTTTGATTTCAACGAGATCATTCGTTTAGCTACTCAGGAGATCATTAGAACGAGGTAACTGAATTTACTTATTTGTGCTGTTTGTCATTGTTTTAAATGTTCACATGTTGTATTTTATAACTTCATATATAATAAAGACCAGTTGTTTCTGGTGAATCAGAATGATCTGTAAACACAGCAGTTGCTCAGTCTGTCCTGTAGTGGGCACTATTGTGCTTTTTTGTTTTTTTCACATCCAGATACATTTTAGTGTCAAATTACACATTTATACTAAACAATCCCAAACAAACAACTACTTAACTTTTATAATCATTTGTATAATATAAGTTCATCACAGGCACAGGACTACCTTGAGTAGATGCTTACATGTTTTGTGTAGTTATCTCCTACTGTAATTACAGCCATCACTTTTGAATATATATAAATATAAAAACCAACTCCAGAGTCGTAAAATAATCACCCTTAAAGGATTAGTTCACCCAAAAATGAAAATTAGGCTGCGTTTTACTCACCCCCGAGGCATCCTAGGTGTATATGACTTTCTTCTTTCAGACGAATCCAGTTGGAGTTATATTAAAAATTGTCTTTGATCTTTCAAGCTGTTTAATGGCAGTCAGCAGGTGTTGCATTGCTTCAGTCCAAAAGAAGTTAAATAAAAATTGCCCATCCATAAAAAGAGTGTCTCACACGGTTCCAGGGGGGTGAACAAAGTCTTCCTGTAGCGAAACGATGCGTTTTTGTAAGAAAAATATCCATATTCACAATGTAATAATCACTTTAATGTAGCTTGCGCTCACTGTTGTACACGGAAGCAGTTCCGGGGGAATGACGTATGAGGTTGGCTTTGCGCATGCGCCGCTCAGAAGTGACAAATGCAGAAGCGCAGGGGAGAGGTCAAAACAAAACAACGGTCAAGGGTCAACGGATTTGTAAAGAAGAATGTCAGAGGATTTCGATATACTGTAAGCCAAGAGGAGACTGGTTTTCCTTTGCTAAAGTAAGGAAACTTTGCTTCCTTTGCTCATGTTAACAAACGTTGGTTTTCACGAGACTCACCAGCGCATGCGCAGCGCTGAACTCATACATCATGCTCCCGGAACTGCTTCCGTGTACAACTGTTGGCGCAAGCTACAGTAAAGTGATTATTACATTGTGAATATGGATATTTTTCTTACAAAAACGCATCGGTTCGCTACAGGAGGCCTTTGTTCACCCCCCGGAGCCGTGTGAGAGGCTTTCTTTATGGATGGGTGATTTTTATTTAACTTCTTTTGGACTGAAGCATGCAACACCTGCTGAGTGCCATTAAACAGCTTGAAAGATCAAAGACAATTTTTAATATAACTCCAACTGGATTCGTCTGAAAGAAGAAAATCATATACACCTAGGATGCCTCGGGGGTGAGTAAAACGCAGCCTAATTTTC